GGGGATGGGCGCGGGGCTGTGAGCGCGGCCGTGAGCCGTGGCCATGGGGAACATCTCCTCCAACATCTCCGCCTTCCAGTCCCTGCACATCGTCATGCTGGGCCTGGATTCGGCGGGCAAGACCACGGTGCTCTACCGCCTCAAGTTCAACGAGTTCGTCAACACCGTGCCCACCATCGGCTTCAACACGGAGAAGATCCGGCTCAGCAACGGGACTGCCAAGGGCATCAGCTGCCACTTCTGGGACGTGGGCGGCCAGGAGAAGCTGCGCCCGCTCTGGAAGTCCTACAGCCGCTGCACCGATGGCATCATCTACGTGGTGGACTCAGTGGACGTGGACCGGCTGGAGGAAGCCAAAACGGAGCTGCACAAGGTGACCAAGTTCGCGGAAAACCAGGGCACCCCGCTGCTGGTCATCGCCAACAAGCAGGACCTGCCCAAATCGCTGCCGGTGGCCGAGATCGAGAAGCAGCTGGCCCTCCACGAGCTGACCCCTTCCACCACCTACCACATCCAGCCCGCCTGCGCCATCATCGGCGAGGGGCTGACGGAGGGCATGGACAAGCTCTACGAGATGATCCTCAAGCGCAGGAAGTCCCTCAAGCAGAAGAAGAAGCGGTAGAAGCCCAGCCGAGGCGGGGAGGGATGGGGGAGCAGACAAAGGAACCGAGGGGGAGACAGAACCAAAGCGATTCTTTTGGGTTTAATCGTTCTTTTTTTATTTTTTATTTTTTTTCCCTCTTATTTTTTTTTCCCCCTTCCCCAAAGGACAGACAATAGTGGTGATAACAAAGCGGCTCCCGCCAGCCGAGCCCAGATCCCGGAGCTCCCCTCTCCCACCGCCCCGTGCTCCTGAGGGTCTGATCCGGACTCCTTTGGGCTGGAAACATGGAAAAACGGGATGAATCCCCCCTCTCCATCCTCCGGGACCACCGAGCCTTTGTGTGCCGGGGAACCAACAGGGCAGGACCCTGTTGAAGTGCGTTCGAGCGGAGCCCAGCGTGATTTTGGAGCTTTAACGTGGGCATTTTGGGGCGGGGGGCGTCGTTGCCGGCCCCCCACATGCATTTTGGGGCGGGGGGTGCGGATTCACCGTGGCTCGGCAAGGTCAGCGGGGAGGGGGCTTGCAGCCCTTATCCCTGCATCCCCGCATCCCTGGATTCCTCCCCCGCGGGTGGCGGTGGGAAGAGGTGTTGAAAGCTTGGAGGGGGGGTTTGGACCTGCAGAAAATGTCTTGGAGGGGTGGGTGTGATGGGTAAGGGGACATCCACACCCACCCTGGCCCGTGTTTTAGGGTGCAGAGCAAGGACGGGCAGCCTTTGGGGGGGAGGGGGGGGG